CGTAAGTGAATATTCGTTTTAATAATAAATGCACAAAAACAAAAGAAACATGGGTCAAAGAAAGTGTCCGAAATTTCTTCCACTAACTGAAATGCAGACCTCACATCTACCTACCGGCGCATGGAATTCTGAACATTCTGAAATAATCTAGGCTCATCTCGAATTTCCCAGCAGCTACTGAGATTCTTGCAACCAGCTCCTCAGCATTGTCAACGGAGGTGTTATAAACCAGTGTTTTCATATTCCCCCAAAAATAAAAATCAAGACACAATAGGTCTAGTGACCGAGTAGCCAACGCACGGGACCACCACGTCCGATCCACTGTTGGCCAAATGTGATGTCTACAACGCCATCTACCGCGTCAGGAAAGCATTTCCGACCCCACATTGCTATATGATTCCGAGTCGTCGAGATGCATCCTACCCCTCTTAGAAGTTCTGAAATATTTAACTGAGACACCCTGTATATTCTTCATTAAGTTAAAAATGTTCATTAAAATCTGTTCCAAATCTGTTTTGCAATATACAGCCTAAATAAAACTATGCAATTTTTTATGATCTGATATTATCTAGTTTATATCAATGATATCCAACTTAGGTATAGATGAAGTTTATTGAGAAAGTAGAATTACTTTTTGTTTATATAATATATACGTGTATGGAGATAAAAAATATTAGGCCTATACAATCTTATCTATGAGTACGTTGGATTTCAATATACGGTATATATTTTATATATACACAAAGACACACAGACACACACAATTATTTGTATACGTACTGTACTTTTCATCTTTAGTTAATAAACATTTTAATAAAAAATTAAATATATGTTATACACAGTATATAACATATTTTTAATAAAATATTTATTGAAGAATAATTTAAAAAAAAAACATAGTGGATATTATTTGTTATTTAATTCTTAATATTAATATATTAAATATTTTAAAAGCTTAATTTTTAATACATTTTATTCTAGGTTCTATAATAATTGAATGTAAATATATCTGAAATGAAGATATACTGCATTTTAAAACAAAACTATATTTTACTTTCACTATTTTAACATTTTTCATTTATGTTAATATATGAATTAGTATTTATTATGGATTAACATCTGCAAGTTAAAATTCCATGAGCTATCAATAGGACAGTAATACTATATATGAACTATCAGAATTTCAGTTTTATATGTATAAACCTTGTAGCGAACTTATCTTTGCATAGTTTTTTGCACAAAATCTATTCCATAAATACAGATATTTTAATATACATATCAAAAGTATTTATCGAATGGCTAATTTCTATAAAATGTCAAAGTTGATTTCTTGCGTGAAAAATAATAAAAATTAATAACGCTGTTAGATACAAAATATGAATAAGTGCAATATACTGTTAGATACAGTAGACTATACGAAAAGATTATAATGATAATCTTATAGTTATAATCTTTCCGTATAATAGTAAAAATAATTATAAATAATTCTGTATCTAACAGAAAAACAACCGAAATTTTTTGATAAGCCAAGTATAAAAATACACTTATACTTATAAGAAATAATATATAATAAATATACAAGGTATAATAAAATAAATAATTTTCTTGGTACTGATTAACATCTAAATAATACATTTCGTTTTTAGTAATTGAGGAAAATTTATTGTATACTAAATCTTAACTAATCATCTTTATGTTAAAATGTGTATCTGATTAATTAATCCTGGCTTTTGCATCTTTATGCAAGTAACTTTAAATTGTTTACTGAGAAACAAATTTTTCAATTAAAAAATTGATTAATTTAACCTACTTTTCATGGCGCATGGTTATTTTATAATAATATGAAAAAGTAACGTGACTAAATAAAGATAAGAAATCGCACGTTTGTTTCGTTCTTTTTTCCTATGCAATCCAATGTTTTGTCACTAAAGAGCCGTCAAACTATACCCGAATATGAGCGCCTCTAGTGGAAGATTTAGAGATAGAATATCATGCCCTAAAACAACTAAGAATAGGCATTTACTATATTAGCTAATCATCATAAAATCAAAAGACAGAATACACTATTAAGTAGGATTAATAGTATGAGATTTACCAATATAGATGTTTTAGTAACATCATGTTATTAGTCAAATTAGAAGTTGGTCTTGTTGTAATTCATTCGTTCAATGATATCAATATTACAATATTGATTACTTAACGCTAAAATAATTAAAACATACTTTGTTCGTTTTATTTTTTTATATCTTAATTCATAAAATTAATTCGAAAAATATGAATTCTAACAACTGTTTTGAATCAGCCACATTAGTAATGAATCGTTGGAGTTGATAGTCAATGATGTCACATTTGTAACTTCAACACAAAACTTTCTAGTAAATTATGGTTTATCTATCTTATGGTTTTTATGCTTTAACCTTCATACCCTGTAGGGTTATAGAGAGAAAATGTCTTCTCTATTTTTCTAGTATGTCCTTCAGAAAATATGTGCCTGTGTATCTGTATTCAGCTAAACATTTATGTAACTTCATCGAACTGAAAATATAAATGTTTAAATAGAATTAAAACGTATAATTTATCTTTTGTCTGTTAATTATTATAGTTGGAATTTTGTAAAAGAAAACGTTTATTTTTTATTTATCTTAAAGATTTACTATTATTATTTGAAAAATAACATCACTGAATTATTAAATTAAATTTTTTTACAAAATATTAGTATTTTATAATAATTTAAAATAAAATATTGATTTTATGTCATAATTAAAAAATAATTATTTTTATAGCAAAATTTAATTGTATTTAATTTGTATTTATTATTTCAATTTTATTACATACAAATGAGGAATTTATAAGATTAGAAAATAAAAAAAATAATAAAGTATTAAAATAAATTTTAATGTTTTATTTTTGCTTGGTTATTTTATAAATAAAATTAAAAAGTATAGTGGCAATAATTTTTAAAAAGTTTGGTAACATATTAGTTTTGTTTTTAAAAAGGTCGTTATTAGTTAAAAAAAAAANTTTAAGTATAACTTTAGTGATCATATTTGGAAGTGATGACCAGATGAGCAAGATGACGAAGATGTCGGCTTACGACTCCAGGGACCTGGGTTTTAATCTGCTTCGGATGTCTCAAATTTTTTGGGAATGTTTTATCTTGGGTATGTTTTACCACCAAGTTTTCTCCATCATAGGTGTGGCCAAACCCATAGTGGCTTGGAAGTAAAGTCTTCTTAATGCCCACAGGATGGAAAGAGTGAAAATCTTCAAAGAAATCAAACATGGAAGAAAATTTCAATCATAATTTTTTTTTATAGGGTTTAGAATGGCGTAATATTTAAATTGTTTCAATAATTAAGAATGAAATTTTTCTAATAAGAGAAAAATTTGAACAGTTATAATTTTCTATATGTTTTATAATTGCTTATTTTTAGTATATTAAGATTTTGATTTGATTTTAAGAACTAATAAATAAGTTAATGAGATGAAGAAATTGTATTTTTGGAAAAATTTACATTTTTAGATTTTTTAAACATCTTATCTATTTATCTCTTGTTTCAATTTACAGGCATCACTAGACTTTTGCACATAATTGGTTCCTGAAAGTGTGTGCGAATGTTGAATGTTTGAAAGTAGAGGAATGTAAAAAAAAATATGCACCAAAAATTGTTTTAAAGTATTCATTTATCAATATGTAACAAACTGCACCAATTATTATTTATTAGTTATAGATATTCATTTTTCAGTTATTTAAATCCAAAATTAGAAATTATTTAAGTTTAATACAAAATTCTCTTTATGATTTGTGTACAATTTTTACGCAAAGAATTAATATGATTTCGAATTTCTTTTCAAATTAATTTATAAATATTAGGCTATAATTAGTTATTATTAAAAATTAATTTTAAAATATTATTTTATTGTAGTTTACTGCAGTACTATAGAATGGTGTGATATTGAAGTTGTTTCGTTTGTATGTGTTTGTTAATAGTTATAAACCTACAATGGGTTTGAAGAAGCTTTCCATTTATAACCCAACCTCTCGTTCCAGTCAGGGTTGGTTAGCATTGTAGTACAATATGTCGACACAGTGCCACAAATGGTGACGTATCGAATACCACATAATATCATTAGGACAGAAGATAAAATATAGTGATTTCAATAACTATTTTCAGTTATTTGTAAAGAAATAGCAATGCTGTCTTTTGAAAAAATATTACGGATAATTAATGCTTTAACTAAAATATTATTCTAATAGTCAACTAAAAATTTACTCTCTAGAAAATTATATTTTATTATATTTTTAATTATCCATTATTTTCTTCATTTAAATACTAAAAACTTGCAATAGATAATTTTAAAATATAATGAAAATATAATATATTATTAATATCTGCAAATACAGTGAAATTATTTTTATTAAACGATTACTTTCTCAAAAAGTAATTTGAATAGTTACGAAAGCTTTTATATTATAACCAATGAGATACTTTTTCTTTTATTCAATTCATATCTTAAGTTTTTTGAAAATGTATGCAAAATTTGACTCTTATCTTAGATGTATATTTCAAACAAAAATTTCATGTGTCATTCGGTTAGTGTCAGCGACCGAGCAATTGAAAATGATCCAAATTGATACAAGCTTGTCCAAAACTAAAGACAGAATCTTCGTTTACATATGATTATTAATTAAAATGATTTGTTAAAATGAATATACATAATTATTTTGATAGTTACTTACAACATAAATTTTATTAAACGTTATAGTCATTTTCTAATTGTTTTATTTAATAAACCGAATTATATGAATTCATTTATATTTTTATCTATTTATTTACATTTCAAATTTTTTTAAATTATTAAGATCTATCATCTAATATATTTTTCTTATGTTTCAAACAAACCAGCATATTAAATAATATTTTTAAAATGTTTAATATAATTTATAATACAAAAACACTTATTATGAAATTTGTCTAGAACATTAATTTTAATCTCACCTCGATTAACAATAAATGTTACAATATCGTTACTGCGAATGCAAAGATTCCCAAGAAGATGCAATTTTATTAAACAGTGTTCGTAATTACATTCTTTTTCGATCTGCAAAATAGAAAAACATGAAAATAATTGCATTTTTACGTCTCATATATAAATATATATTAAGGAACATTTAAAATAAATATTTTATTTTGTTTTAAGTAAACATTCAAGGTTATATGCCTCTTTTCGAAATGGACAATTTCAGGGACGGGAAGTCTCCTCTTTGTCTTGGCAAATTTTCAATTCCAAGGACAGAACAAAACGGCTTAGTTTTTCGTGTTTTATACTCTTGTTAAATTTGCTAATCATTTATATCTAACCATATTATTTCATAAATCTAGTTTAATTTTTCTTTCTCCTCGAAAATATATAATACATAATTTATTTTAATTTTTTATATGCGTATATGAAAACTGATTGATGAAGAGAAAGGCCATCATGTGGCGTATTTGATACGCTATATTTGTCTTCCAAACGAAAATGGCATCACCCTTTGGCATCATGTTCCGTTTCTTAATGAGGAACTAACAAATATCGACAATTCCGTAGCATTACTTGTTTTCTACATTAAATAAATGGTAATATTATCAAAATTATAATTATTATAACTTCGATTTAAAATAAAATTTTCTTAATTAACACTAACAATTTATTTTTTTCTTTGTGAATAAGTTTGGAGCTTCCGTATCTTGGCGCCTCTATGCGATCGCTTAGGTTCGACTAATGGTAAATCCGGCACTGTCCAAATAATTGAATTTTTGCTTAAAATAGTCTTTTTTTCAATCCGAACATCCCGTTATGTACTTTACGTATGTACATAATTATGTGTAAGTAAAATATTAAATGTGAAAATGTACCTACTAATGAATAAATAATAAAGCGAGGGAAAACGACGCACATTTTGGAAAATCGTTCTGTATCAATAATATACGCATTGAAGAATAGATTATGGTGCGACATTATATAATTGTTAATCTTTTTAGGAAAATTGTTATTTTTAAAATCATGATGATAGAAAATTAACTATAACAAATATATCTTGGGTACTGTACTTCTTTTCCATCTCTCCCACTAGGGTTGATAAGAAGACGCATTATAGATACAGTAGTTGCCTTATGGAGAAATAAATACGAATAACAAGTTAGAAACGTATACGATATGTTAAAAGAGATATTTTTTCACTTTTATGTTTTTATGAGTGTGGTAGATATTGCACCGAAATAGACAATAATAAGTCAGCAGAAAATGAACACATTTTTATTCTTAATTTAAACAAAATATATTTAATATTTGTACATGTAACATAATGAGTCCTATAAACTATAAGTATAAAATTACACTACTAGAATAGTATTGGACTATTACAGTACACTCCAATGTTAGTAGTATGTACTCTCCTCATATTAAAATATATATGAAAATAGCGTCATCTCTTCTCCCTTCTAACTAAGTCATCTCTTCCGAATAGAGAAGAGACGATGCACCTTGACTTTTCGGTGCAAAACATGGTGGAACAATACAACTTGGCTATGATCTTAACTTCCGCTCATCAATAATTTTATTATTATTATTTTATAAATATACTTATCAAAAATATTGCGCTAGTTGCATAAAAATTCAGACACTTAACGTTAGCTATCAAAATAACTCCTTTCCAAAATGCACAAAACTGCAAATTTCGAAAACAATTTAACTACATGATTGTTCTTTTTTTTACTATTCATTATCTACTAAGACAAGTGGTGCTAGCTGCTTCAAAACTTGGAAAAAGAAGCCCTCGTCTATCTCCTATCCTTGTCATCTTCCTTCGCTTTCCCCTACTTTATTTTCTACATTTAGAAAAAAAAAATTAATTTTCATGCATATACAGTACGTATGCCTGTTTATTTTTAACAAAATCGGAGGGAAATCCGAATAATTGGAGTTATATTTTATTTTGTTCGAATTAGTCGGATTGCAGACACTCGTATTTTATTTAAGGAAAACAGATATAGTCACACGGTTTGCCCTAATTAGTGAACAAACTCAAAAACATGTCTCATTTTTAGTAAATCTGATATATACAGTACACCATGCGTTACTTTCACAATATCGAGATGATATTCAATCTATCTCCGGATGTTACATAATGTCTTGAGTGACAGTCCGATTGCGTTTATTATAAAACCTTTTAATGTTTCAATATCTGTTACGGGTCTTTAATAACCAAGCCTTTCACATAATCGGTGAATAATACTTTCAAAAGAGGTCGGTATGTAACCTAAATTGATCCTATCTCGCCTTTTCATCGGTTAGGAAAAACTTCATTCAAAAGTTTTAACTGCAGTAACAATAGTGTCCTGAGATTTTCTAATGCAGGAAAAACTTTTTAAGTTTTGCTGACGATTACTGAAAATCACGGGTTGATCTGTTTCCTTAAACACAAAATACTTTTCGTAAACTTTCAGTTCTTTTTCGGACTCCCTGTAAATCAATTTTTTCATCGATAAAATTCCCTATTTCGTCAATTATAAATTACTTTTATGCCAGCTATTTTTTAAAATCATTAATATTACTATTTTTTAACTAATTTGATTAATCGAAACATTTTATTATAATTATTATTTTATTTGTTAATTAAAAGTAATGCCTAAGAAAATACTCAAGTGAACTATAGCTTATTATAATGTTTCCATAAGGTGTTAGTTACATAAAAAGAAACATACAGATAGAATTATCTCTGCATTTTCACACTTGAAAACCTCTTAAACTAAATCGCTAGTTATGTTGGAGATAATTTCATATATTTTTTCTCCATTAAATAATTTGAAGATGCAAATAAAACAAAATGTGAGAAAGATATTTCCACAATTTTTTGAAAAAATATTTATATAAAATTAATATACTATGCCTTAATCATTATCACTACATAATCTTATTTTATCTTAAAAACGTTAATATACTGTACTTTTTATCTCGATATCTTTACGTATAATATATTATAGGATATATAGGGGAAGGTGGTAAAAGATGGGGCTATGGGGTAAGACGGAGACGTTTGTTTATTCGTGGTTAACGCGCTAATAACAGCCAAATAACAGCTAGATGAAAATCTAGCTGTTATTTAGGAAACTAAATGTCAAGCTCAAAAGGGATCGCGGGACGAGAGAACGTCCGAATCGCTCTCTTTGTTTGGAAGTAAGACAGTTTTCCTGTTTCGGCAATACTTCATCTAATTTTACGCCCGCTACAAAGTTTCTACAAAGTAAGCATCATTGCGAACTTTTACATTACCTTTTAGACGAAGATATTACGGTATTCGAAATAACCTTTAAAACTGAAATTGTTTAGTTTTGAAATAAAGTTGACCCGTGTTTGCAGTCAGTATGAAAAGTGCACGTTGGGGCAAGATGGGGTACCCCATCCTGCCCAAGGTTGGCCATGGATTCTGCTGCTAGCTAGAGGCACTGTAATATAGTGCAGCGAACTAGTTTTAAATTCGTTGTCATTGATAATTCTATATCATTTTTTCGAATATATAAAATAATAAGTTTAAAAATAATCTTTTTATAGAAAATGAAATATTCCACTTTTAAATCATATCTAACTGTAATAAATTTATACAGTATATACTGTATTACTTTATTATTTGTTTTTACGTTTTATTTTATTTATGAAAACATTTTTTTAATTTAAATACTATCTTAACAAGAAATAAAATGT